TCTCGGACTGTTCGACCACGTGGTGTTTGCTTCTTCCCCGGGCCTGTCCCACCACCCCTCCCTCCCTCTGTTTACTGCGCGTGCCTTATCTCGGGTCAGCCTCCTCCCCTCTGCCTCGGGTCGTGTTTCCCCTCTCCTCTTCCACAGACACACGTCTCTACCGTCTTCGCGCCCCCCCCCCCTGCCCCTCCCCTCCTTCCTCGTGCCTGCTGCCGGCCGCTCACTGACCTTCGAGCCCCTAATCGACAATAGGTGGGCCCTATTACTGATTAGGGCTTCTCATACCGTTCGCTCCTCTGATCTGTTACACAGAGTTGGCTGTTGTTGGCCGTCTGCACCCAAATCGTGTTATCGTTCATATCATGATCGATAACAAGACGCCAAACACGCCAACGGAGCAGAATGTACAATACAAAAGCGGGCAGATATATGGGCAATCGTCATACACCCGTCGTTTCTCAGCCCAGACTGGAGCGGCTTTATACTTTCTCATGCCAGTCGAGTCCGAATTACAGATTGTAATCAGACTGGAGCGACTGTTACGTTGTCGTGGTATTCGAGCATGTGCGAGTGCACGCGCAAAAACAAAAAAGATGCTACTGTTCTCATGAGCCGAGTCGGTATTAGTTACATAATCCGACGGGAGCGGCTGTTACGGTATTAATATCACATAAGCCGAGTCGGTGAGATATTCACACCTGGACTGGAGCGGCTGCTATGTAGGTATGCAATAGCCGAGTCGGGATGTGGTTCTCACTCCGACTGGAGCGGCTGGTACTGCGATTAGCCGAGTCGATAAGGCATTCAAGCCCAGACTGGAGCGGCTTTATACTTTCTCGTGCCAGTCGAGTCCGAATTACAGATTGTAATCGGACTGGAGCGACTGTTACGTTGTCGTGTTATTCGAGCATGTAGGTACAAATGCACGCGCAAAAAAACAACAAAGATGCTACTGTTCTCATGAGCCGAGTCGGTATTATTTACATAATCCGACGGGAGCGGCTGTTACGGTATTAATGTCACATAAGCCGAGTCAGTGAGATATTCACACCTGGACTGGAGCGGCTGCTATGTATGCAATTGCCGAGTCGGGCTGTGGTTCTCACTCCGACTGGAGCGGCTGGTACTGCGATTAGCCGAGTCGATAAGGCATTCAAGCCCAAACTGGAGCGGCTTTTTTCTTTCTCATGCCAGTCGAGTCCGAATTACAGATTGTAATCAGACTGGAGCGACTGTGACGTTGTCGTGGTATTCGAGCATGTAGGTACAAATGTACGCGCAAAAACAAAAAAAAAAGTGGTACTGGTCTCATGAGCCGAGTCGGTATTAGTTACATAATCCGACGGGAGCGGCTGGTACGGTATAAATATCACATAAGCCGAGTCGGTGAGATATTCACACCTGGACTGGAGCGGCTGCTATGTATGCACGACTCCTACTGGTCTCATGAGCCGAGTCGGTATTAGTTACGTAATTCGACGGGAGCGGCTGGTACGGTATTAATATCACATAAGCCGAGTCGGTGAGATATTCACACCTGGACTGGAGCGGCTGTTATGTATGCAATTGCCGAGTCGGAATGTGGTTCTTACTCCGACTGGAGCGGCTGGTATGCGATTAGCCGAGTCGGTGAGGCGTTCAAGCCCAGACAGACTGGAGCGGCTTTATACTTTCTCATGCCAGTCGAGTCCGAATTACAGATTGTAATCAGACTGGAGCGACTGTTACGTTGTCGTGTATTCGGTATGCGATTAGCCGAGTCGGTGAGCGTTCAAGCCCAGACAGACTGGAGCGGCTTTATACTTTCTCATGCCAGTCGAGTCCGAATTACAGATTGTAATCAGACTGGAGCGACTGTTACGTTGTCGTGTATTCGGTATGCGATTAGCCGAGTCGGTGAGCGTTCAAGCCCAGACAGACTGGAGCGGCTTTATACTTTCTCATGCCAGTCGAGTCCGAATTACAGATTGTAATCAGACTGGAGCGACTGTTACGTTGTCGTGTATTCGGTATGCGATTAGCCGAGTCGGTGAGCGTTCAAGCCCAGACAGACTGGAGCGGCTTTATACTTTCTCATGCCAGTCGAGTCCGAATTACAGATTGTAATCAGACTGGAGCGACTGTTACGTTGTCGTGTATTCGGTATGCTATTAGCCGAGTCGGTGAGCGTTCAAGCCCAGACAGACTGGAGCGGCTTTATACTTTCTCATGCCAGTCGAGTCCGAATTACAGATTGTAATCAGACTGGAGCGACCGTTACGTTGTCGTGTATTCGGTATGCGATTAGCCGAGTCGGTGAGGCGTTCAAGCCCAGACAGACTGGAGCGGCTTTATACTTTCTCATGCCAGTCGGAGTCGCGCACATCGTCATGTCTACATGTGTCATGTGTTGTAACAATTTAAACTGTCGGGCGGGCGTCCTGATATCTACTGTTGCTAGCACGTTAACTTGACTTACCGGCCATGACAGTCCCCTTATGTATGTGCCTCTGCGCTGCGGACCAGGTACTCCGTCGCGCCACACTCACTGTCGTCTCTCGTTTCTCACTTATCCTGCTCGCTCATTTTTCGCAGCCTGTCACTCAATCCCCACTCGTCACACCGTCCGTCGCCTCTGAGCGCGCGTCTCGGACTGTTCGACCACGTGGTGTTTGCTTCTTCCCCGGGCCTGTCCCACCACCCCTCCCTCCCTCTGTTTACTGCGCGTGCCTTATCTCGGGTCAGCCTCCTCCCCTCTGCCTCGGGTCGTGTTTCCCCTCTCCTCTTCCACAGACACACGTCTCTACCGTCTTCGCGCCCCCCCCCCTGCCCCTCCCCTCCTTCCTCGTGCCTGCTGCCGGCCGCTCACTGACCTTCGAGCCCCTAATCGACAATAGGTGGGCCCTATTACTGATTTATGTGCCCCTGGTTACCCGAGGGGCCCCTGATGACCCGATGGGCCCCTGCAGTCATCCGAGGGCCCCGGTTTCCTGGCCCCTGGTCGCCTAGGGGGCCCCTGGTGGCCGGGGCCTGGTCGCATGGGGCCCCTGATTGCCTGGGGCCCCTAGTCGCCAAGGGGGCCCCTGGTAGCGGGGGCCTGGTCGCATGGGGCCCCTGGTTGCCTGGGACTCCTGAGGGCCCCTGGTTGCCTGGGGGCCCCTGGTCACCTGGGCGGCCTGGGGGCCCCCGGGTGACCTAAGGGCCCCTTCGGAAGCAGGTGGTCCCCTCCTGGGCGAAATCCTGGGTACGTGCCTGGAGTCCAGTTAGGCTGAACGCCGGTCACTATTCAGCCGATAGCTGTGCACTCTCGGCAGGGTTGTTTGGGCGGAATAATGCCCGTGCTTTCGTACGGCAGAGTAAATTGGCAAACGTTGAAAGCTATTGACTTGTCAATGTTAAATAGCCCACGGACATTTGTTGCAAAGAGTCTAACCGACAGGTCGAATGGCCAACCGCTACCAGCCGCTGCCAATATGCTGCACGCAATCTCCTCGGTGCTCTCTACATAGTTCAAGTGGTCTAGCGTCACTACTAGCACTAAAACGAGCTCTAAAACACCACAATCGCCAGTGCTGGCCACTCGCCCGTCCCCTCGGCGTGGCGTCGACTCACCGTTGGGAGTCCTGCACAGCTGTGGAGGCAACACAACCCGGCAGTAATGGAGCCGAGCCGAGCCGACTCGCCCAGCCCAGCCGACCGCTCGTCATTTCACACGTCTCGCGAGGCGCCGGAGCTGGTGGGAGAGTGTCGCCAGAGTGCCCCCGACATTAGCCCAAAGTCCAAACGTTCCCTTTATTTAGGTGGACGGGTAGAGGAAAACTGTGTGATTGGGAGATGCGCGAAGAGCTGCAGTGTGGCAGAAGTTGTTAAATTCAGCTGAGAAAGAAATCGAGCTGAAATAGCGTCGTAAATGTGGCAACTTGCAAGGTCTGCTAACTGCTTAATCATTTAACAATGCATTAACTAATGGCCGGACCATTCACATACCTGATGAGTTATGTCGCTTCCAAACTACGGCCCCATAAATCCACCCACTCGGACGTTTTTCGCAGTTAGTTCTGAAAAATAGCGGTGTAATTTTCCCGTGTACGGGTCTGCTCTCCCGGCGGGGGCGCGGTCAGGCCGGCTGGTCGCCGCGGTCAGGTCCGCTGGTCGCCGCGGGCAGGTGGTCCATACGCCCGGCGGGCATAATAGGACAGGAGGCGCGATCTACATAATAGATGGATGTATACATGAATAGCGGCGGCCGGCGGCTGGTGCCAGTCAGCAGAGGCTGGTGTGTGACGCGCGCAGTCACAGCGCCGCTGGCACTCGCCGCCTGATTAGCCCGCAGAGTATTAGCTGGCCGCTGCCGTATTAACGCCCTGCTAATGCGGCGATCCGTCCAGGAACGTCTGTTTCTCCTGTGGCTGCCAACGCGCGTCTCAGCGGTCTCATGATTAGCCGTGATCAACTGCGGCGGGTGGCGTATGTGGGTGGGTGATTGATACGGAAAGTTTCCGCATGTTAGGCGATTTGTGTCGATGTAGACTTATTTGATGACTCGCAATATCGAATGGTGGACGTTACGTGACACTGACAGTAACCACTAACCATACTCGGTGTGCTTATGCTGGTATGTATTGTATTGCAGCATATTGCAGAATGTGCATATATGAACCGATCATGGTCTTGCATGCATAGCTAACTTTGTGTGTCTGCTGTCCACTGTGCAGTGTGTAATGTGCCTGTCTCGAGCGTCGTATTGTGCATGCTGTCCATGATGCATTATGCATTGTGAATGTCTTCAGTAGTGCATAGGATCCTATACATGTCCAATCGTTTAAACGTTCAGTAGTTGTCCACGTTTGAAGTTAAATAGCGTTCGGACATGCCTCATGCGCTCGTGTTTGAAAAAAGACTTTCGGCCTAGCCATGCCTTCAGTGACAATGCTTTGTGTTGTAGAATTTAGTTGTTTCCTCCTTCGGAAACATGCATTTATGTGCCTCCAGTGACGTAATACGCATATGTGTGTCTCCAGTGACGTGGCGGTAATGAACGAGGACGGCTACGTGAAGATCGTCGGCCGTGCCAAGGACATGGTGATCCGCGGCGGGGAGAACATCTACCCGACCGAGGTGGAGGACTTCCTGATGACGCACCCGGACGTGCTGGAGGCCTCGGTGAGCCCCCCCCTCCCCCCACTCGTCGGCGCGTCCTGTGACTGACAGGCGGCACTAACGGCCTCCTTTCAGTCGCGCCCAGCTCCATTTACAGGCCGTCATTTTCGGCATCTATTTCCGTGATGGCACACATTGAGGCGGCCTCATTTGCGGCAGGCTGGCGTCACTCGGCCGCCGTCCTCCGCCGTCCGCTGCCGATGTGATCTAACCCTTAGCGCTCTCAGCTACTCAGTTACCCAGCCACTCATCGGGCGTTGGCTCTTTTTTAGTATGTTCTGTTTTGTGATGCTTCTCCCTTGTTTCACATCGCTCCCTTCTATCATTCTCTTCTTTCACCTTCCTCCCTCTGGCCTCTCTCTCTCTCTCTCTCTCTCTCTCTCTCTCTCTCTCTCTCTCTCTCTCTCTCTCTCTCTCTCTCTCTCTCTCTCTCGCTCTCTTCCATCGACTAGTCCATTCCTCCTTCTTTTCCTCCCACCTTCCGTCTCCTCTCCCATCCTCCCCCGTCTCCCTCCGTCCGTGCCGTCTCGGCGGCTACGGCGCCGGGCTTCCGTCCCGTGTGCGGCCGCCGCTCGGTCACCTAAGTGGGTAATGGATACGGAGGCACGCGGCCAGTGAGCGCGATGGCCGGCTGACCGAAGGCGTCTCTTATTCCTCCCACTGGCCTGCGGTTGCTTCGCTCCTAGCTGCGGTCACCTCGCTACCCTGAACTTGGGCCGCTGTTACCTGAAGTCATGTAGTAGCGCGACAAAATTGGGCTGAGATGCTCGGATCAGGTTTTAATAAGTGGCTTTGCTGTTGCTGGCTGAGGATGTCGTAGCTAGTTTGTAGCGGTGTGCGTCGTTCAGTTGCGTTTTTCGTAGCCTAGTGAGGTACGACATGCATACATCTGTGTTCTTGTTGTGGTGTTCACTATTCATCCATGCGCTCGCGCTGGCTCAGATTCATTTCCAGCAAGTAACTGTCAGTAGTTTTATATGCGACCAAGTGATGTTGCCACGGTGAAACGAGTATTTTGAAATGATGACCTTTCCCTCCGGTAATGCTTCGTGGTGGAAAAGCTCATGAGATTCGGCTGCATGGCTGGACTGTTACCGTGCCAACAGATGCCAAGAATCGTCACAAGAGGTTTTACAACTCATAAAACTTTCGTTTCTAAAAAGTGATGTTAACTGAGAGGCGTAACACTCACTGGTCGATGTTAGTGCCTGCGCAACAGTTTTTCCTGGCACTGTGCCTTGATCTCCCAGGAAATAATCGAGACCAAACTTCCGTGCTGCTGACAGTTTATGTACGCCACCGGGCCAGAACAGAATGCCTTTCTGAGAATCACAGAGCATAACCTTCAGTTCTCATAAATTCTCTGATATTCAACGGTGAACATGAAGGATCTGACAATTTCAGAATATCTTTCAATCAGGGCTGCAGAGTCGATGGATTTTCGGCGACTCCGACTCCGACTCCGACTCCGGCTTTCAAAAACCAGCTCCGACTCCGACTCCGACTCCGGGCAGAATTGTCGACTCCGACCGACTCCAACTCCCGACTCCGACTCCGCAGACCTAGCAGGGCTGCGGAGTCGACAGATTTTCGGTGACTCCGACTCCGACTCCGGCTCAGGTTTCTAAAATCGACTCCGACTCCGACTCCGACTCCGGTCACAACTGTCGACTCCGACCGACTCCGACTCCGACTCCGACTCCGACTCCGAAGCCCTGCTTTCAATGCTATTTTTTCATCAGTCGCATCGCTGTCGTCACCCTGCCCGCTCCTGTACCTTAGCGTTGTGTAACTGCCTGCCGCGATGTTTATCATTCGCAAGCCACCGTCAAGTGGCCTACACAGGGCTGCGTTTGTCATTGTTATGGTAATTAACGTCTGCCTCTGCGCCGGTGTCAGCAGCTGGCAAAGTGCTATCGGACAGCATTTATCGAACAAATGACGCATAATCTGCCGAGGAGTGAAGACGATTGTGCCCATTATCAGTCAGTAGACTGTACCAAACGAGGCCTGCAGTAGTCATGGTAACAAACGCTGACACTTTCGCACAAACCTCTAGAAAACCTCTGGAAAAACCTCTCTAGAAAAAAAAATGATTGGAATCTTGTTACTGGCCTTAGTGCTTAGCTTGTTCAGTGTCCAACGATCAGGCTATTTTGAGTGCAGCCTTTATGTTATGTATAGTACCTACCTGGCCAAAATACGATCTCTTGTGGTTTTCATAAAGTCATGCCGCCATGGACTTTATTCTGCACGCACTGGGTATTGGGGCTCACATTATGACCAAATTGTGCGTCACTCAAGTTCATCGTTGCAGCACCCCAGTTTCCTAAGCAGCCCTGGCATGCCATTGCCCTGCATTCCATTCGGATCCCTGATGATGGCGACGAAAGAGATCACGATGCCCGGGGATTCCCGGCACGGCTGCTGTGGGGTCAGGGTGCGCCCAGCTGGTCGGAGGTTCCCCTCCGCCGGGCCTGAAATACAATCGGCTCGTGTGCCTGTCATCAACGAGTCAGCCACTTTAGCATGTGTGGGTGGGATTATCCATGAAGTCTTAGAGGGGTGAATATCGATAACGATTTTTTCATGAAGTAAAAAAGCTACAAAATGTCGCTAACCACTTTATTGATAGCCCATGCATAACCGAAGGAAAAGATACCTGCTCACTTGAAAACAAGCTTTTGACTTAATTTAAATGAAAAGCTGCTGCCAAAATATATCTCCATCAGCCTGAATATAGCACGCAATAATACTGAACACAAAAATACAGTCCCCGGTGCTCTCATGCATTCGCTACGAGCCATCTCAGCTCTGAATAATGAATAGTGCGGTGTGTGATGTACGTTTCCGGCGTGGTTGTTCTTTATTCCTGAGGCAGCTCGGGCAGAGGTGCACGGGCGCTGCCATGTGGCTGGCCGCCTGTTCAGTATTCACCGGTCCTGTTCTGCGGCTGTTATGCCGCCAACGCTCACGAAAACATTGGCCCACTCTCCGGTGAATATTTATCGGTCAGTATGAGCCTGTGCTACCTCGTATTCCTGCGACCTCTGAGACTCCTGCCGTGAAATAGGCTAGAATATTGTTATCGGTGCGACCGGGTCACTTTTGTCTTCCATTTCGTGTTGCTCTTGAGTTGTTAGGGAATAAATCTGATGAAATATGAACTACATAATATGTTTTCTTTGCTTATGATTCCGCTTTTTTAAATGAAAGTTGAAAGATGCTGTCTTTGTCACAGTCTTATAGTGTTGCATGGGTGTTGGCTTAGAATCACTCCTACTTCCATGACTTAAATGTCAATCTGACAAATCTATATTTATCGTCACACGCGTCCTGTCCAGGTGACATCACCACCTGTTGTCTGCCACGTCTTCCGTAGCAGTTTATTCGTTTACCGGTCGCCCTCCCTATAGTGTCCTCCGTCGGACACCCCCAGATCAGGTCTGTCAGCGCGTGCGATACCGTCATGAGATCACCCAATTTCTCAGCGCATTAGCACAAACGAAGTTAGCGGCCCGGCCCGACGGCCTGTCCGGTCGATAAATCGATCATCCGACGGTGGCAGCGACAGAGCGGGACCGATTGGGACTTCTCAGGATGGCAATGGTACGCCTAAATCTCCGAGGAATGGGTACGCATGATCAAGTACTAATAAAACCTAAAATTGGCCGAAAATTTTGAAGTTAAGATTTCTTATCCATGCGGCGCCTCTCAAAATGGTATGAATATTGATCATTGTCTTTGGGAGTTGGGACTTTTGTCTACCATGAAAATGATAGAAATATGCTTAAGCACATTCCGCGAAGTAACAAATTATTTCAGTGGATTGTACACGAGCACTCAACAACTTGAAATGAGGCTTGCGCTACGCAGAGACCAGAGTGCGTTAGCTGCATATAAAATTTGCACTACCGACTTCTATTTTGAGAGAGCAGGATGACAACAAGACATCGGGGTTTAGATGAAAACAGTTACCAACAAAAGCCTTCGTTGAAGTACGGAAACTTTAGCTTGGTGATGCGGCTAAGCACTCTTCATCTGCACCGTATAGTAATAAAACGGTAAAAGCTTTGGATAACAGGAGCGGCTTATCGCAAGTTTTGAACTCGTTAATGTAATCATTGTGAAAGTTTTAACGGTAGTCACAGCATAATAAACTTTGAAGTTGAATTGTTATTTTATCATGATTTATTCTAATGCAGTCGGTGTTTCTCTGCAAGTCGAACGAAAAACACAAGCAGTTCGTCAGTAGAGCCGTTTCTGTAAGTCTCATTCAGCTGCAGCCATCTTTTTCAGTGACTCACGATACGGCTTTTATCCGCTCCGAGCTTCATAATGAAGGTCTGCTGAAACCTCAAGCGTTCTCGCTCCGTAACTCCAAGTTCGGGCTATTATCAATGATCGCTGATCTTCATAAGTGAATTGTCCTGATATGACTTTTAATTGTAAAAGCACAGCCAATGGAAGTAACATTCACTTACGAACTCAGGCATTGCTCGACAGACAAGAAAATACGGGTGCGTTCTTTGCACGGAAATTTCACGTGAAATTTCACGGCTCAGTCAGCTGATGCGTTCTTTGCCGACCGCACGGGAATTTCACGGCGCAATTGTCGCAGAGGCTTCATAAATGTAATATGCCCAGATTTGTGAAACATGCATTGAATTAGCGTTGCTTGTATTGTCGGTAAGTTACAGAGGCAGATGGAGTTTTTATAGAAAAGTCCCTGGTGTGCATACAGCTTGTAAGAATACCTACCGGTTAATATTTCCACACCAGTTTGCTGGTTAGTAACAGCGGAAACAATCCCTAAAAAGGTTTTTGGTAAAAACGGTAACATTTTAGTAACATATTCCGCAAAACCAGTCCATATCATACGCACACATTCACATTCCCTCCTCCACTGGGCGTCGCCATCTTGAAAAAAACGCTCGGGACAAGCTTTTCCGATTCCCGTATTTCACGTGGAATTCCGCGGGATTTCACGTGAAATTCCGCGT